GCAAAAATGTTTTCAAAACAAAAAATTGAGAAAAAAATTCTAGTAGTTACAGGTTTCCAGCTGTCCGTCGACCATTTTGAGGGTGCGGGTGCGACGTACTGTAAAAAATTTTTTGTCTGCATTTTGACGTGAAGGTGTTTGCAGACTTTTTTTTCAAAATGCGCTTTTTAGGTAAAATGGTTTTTGCGTACTCTTAGAACTACAGTAACCGAAAATGACTCACGCGACTTCCGATTAAACTGCCTGGCTCGTCGTCTTTGATCCCTTGGATCCGTCTGAAGGGTGGCCGCCTTGACGAGGCCATTGAGGATTTCGTCTTCGGGTTCGTTGTCGACGAGGTCTGAAAATTTTCAGATTAGATCCGAATTACCAATAGGTCTCGCCACGAGTTCGAATGAATATAATCATGACTAGGTTTCGAAAATTTTCGATTTTTGGGTCCCACCACGAAAATTGAAAAACTATCGTATTTAGTCTAGTTTTCATCAGATTTCAATGTGAGTGGTACCCTTAAAATCAGCGCGTCAAGTCGGTCCGAATAAGTATAATCATGACTAGGTTTGGAAAATTTTCGATTTTTGGGTCTCGCCGCGAAAATTGAAAAACTGCCGTATCTAGTCTAATCTTCATCGGATTTCAATGAAAGCGATACCGTTTGAATCAACGCGTTGAGACGGTTCGAATGAGTATAATCAAGACTAGGTTTCGAGAAATTTCGATTTTCGGGTCCCGCCACGAAAATTAAAAATCTATCGTATTTCGGTTAGTTTTTATCGGATTCCAATGAAAGTGGTACCATTGAAATCAGCGCCTCAAGACGATTCGAATGGATATAACCATGACTAGGTTTTGAAATTTTTTTATTTTTGGGTCCCACCACGAAAATTGAAAAACTACCGTATTTCGTCTAGTTTTCATCGAATTTCAATAAGAATAGTACCATTGTAATCAGCTCGTCAAGACGATTCAGATGAGTATAATCATGACTAGACTTTGAAAAAATTTTCATTTTTGGGTCCCGTCACGAAAATTGAAAAGTTACTGTATCTCGGGTAGTTTTCATCGGATTTGAATGAAAGTGGTACCATTAGAATCAGCGTTTCAAGACGATTCAAATGAGTATAATCATGACTAGGTTTTGAAAATTTTCGATTTTTGGGTCTCGCCACGAAAATTGAAAACTATCGTATTTCAGCTAGTTTTGGTCGGATTTAATGGAAAATCGTACCATTGGAATCAGCTCTTCAAGACGATTCTAAATATTTGACCTACAAAACCCTTACCTTTAACACTTCCACCTAAACTCTTTCCATTAATTCCATTGGTCGCCGCTGGCGCCCGTCTCCTCAGCGTACTATCATCTGCCATCGCCGCCAGCATCTTTGACATTTCATCGTGTCTCTGTTGAGTGTTCTGTACCACTGGAGCATGATTCCCATGATTTCTTCGTCTCAACGGAGCCGCCGCATCTCCTCCACCCGCCTCAGAACTGCCCTCCAACGCCCATATCTTTCCACGTGTTTTATTTCGCTCTCGTTTCTCTGCCAGTCTCTTCTTCTGCTGGAGAATCTTATCCCGAGTGGTACGGTATTCCAAAGCAAATTCTGTGACCATTTTGAAGACGTCATTAGGAGTTTGATTGGGGATTTCATCCACAGAATATCCAAAGTAGAGGAGGAAAGCGTGCCACCGATTTTTGGTCACCGTATAAATCGCCTTAAGTTGATGGATTCTCTGAGCAACATCTGATAGGTAATCATTGATTTTTTGCTTCATATTCGAATTGTCATTTTTGCTAATCGTCGCCAAACACTCCCAGGAGCTCTTGCAATCCTTCTCCAGACGAATCAAATTATCCAATAATTCCTTGTAATCCACCCTGGCACTTCTGGCAACCGCTCCAAATTCACTGTACAAATCGGTTCCCTCGGAGAAGTGTTCAACCATATACTCAGCCAAATGGTAGGTCAAAGTGTGCTTGTAGACTGGATCTTTGACTTCTGATGCTTTGGTTAGGTAATCCAGGTAGAACCCCTTGATATCCGTGCCCGACAGCGAGTTTCCTATGGCTAAAAGCATTCCCATTGCAACTTTAAACGTCTTGGACTCTTCCATTTCCTTCATTGCCAATTGCATATCCATCAAGGGCTCCGCGATGTCTTTCTCTGAATTTTTGTAGTCTAGGGTGAAGAGCCAAAGACGGAGACGCTCCAGAAGACATGGGATTTGAGAGAGCTTCAGAAGGAATTGCTCAGCATTTCCGAGGGTCATCTCTGGATTCTCTGCTGCTTTGATCTCGATTTCCTCGACTTCTTTTGGGGATGGCATCATGGTTTTGAGGATTTTTTCGATTCCGTCTTTGTTGAGGACTAGGGAGTCGAATTTCTGGAAAAAATAGCTCAAAAAATGAAAAATTTCGGTTTAAATTATCGGGACGCCTTTTATGCACTCGATCCTATTCTAGAAAAAAAGCAAAAAAGATTGACCACCAGGAGGAATCGAACTCGGGTATGGAAATTTCAAAACTGCAGCGTTAGCCACTAGGCCGCGATGGAAACAACAAAGAGAGGGTAAGAGGGCATTCATAACGATGGGGCCTCTCTTCACTTGCCACGTGGCAATGTCTACGCCCTCCCCATGTCGTTGAAATAGGTGACCCATGGCGCAGTGGTTAGCGCCTTTGCTTTTGAAACTTCAGACCCGGGTTCGATCCCCACTGGGGTCAATTCTTTTTTACTTTTTAGGGCAACTATAACTTTGGGTTTTTGGGTTGGAAAAAAGATTTGCTAGCGTGGTGGCGCATCGGTTAGCGCATTATTTCTGCAAATTTCAGACGCGGGTTCAATTCCGACCGGGGTCAAATCTTTTTTATTTTTCTTTTTAATTTTTTTCACATATACAATTTTTGCAAAAACTTACCATAATAGCAGCTGGAATCACATTGATCGGTGGCAATTTGGTCAGACCAATATTGATGGCTTGTGATCGTTTCAACGGGAGAACCGACAGGGTTTGGGTCTTGGTCTCAGCGACTTTCTGAAAATACAAAAAAAATATTTTTTTTTCATTTTATCTCATTTTCCCTTACCTTAACCGTCGCCTCCTTCTCCTTTTTGGTCTCAAACAACTGCACAATTTTCTTCGCATCAAAAGTGGGCACCTGTCCATCTACCGTATTCCAGAAGCTGCCTTTTTGCTTCAAGGATGGAATAGAGGGTTGCTCGACGGTGGCAGGTTTCCAGTGGAGTTTCAGGACTCCTTTGTTGGCAGCAGGACTGATATCACCGCGGTTAAGGCCACCATTCATAAGGAGGCCTCCTGGCGGAGGTGGTGGAGGGATAATTCCGAGTGGTGGTGGCGGTGGGATTCCTCCTTGGCCTTGTACTGAAAAAAGGATTTTTTGAGGGCAGCAAAGTTGAGTGAAAATGCGCTCTATAGAAGCAAGGGAAAAAAATTGGCGCGGTGTCAATTAAAAAAAACTACTCACATCTAGGTGGCAACGGGATCGCTGATGGTGGTGGTGGTGGGGGTGGCACCCCGGCCCCCACAGGTCCTCCCCTCATTCCACTATCCGCCATCTCCTTCATCTTAGCCATTCGTGCCAATTGCAATGGATCCTGTTGATATTCCACTCCATGGAACTGCGAGAAATCCAAATCATTGATGATAAGTGGTCGCTTCTCCAGATTCTCCGCCGCCTTCTTCCATTGAAGTTCTGCTTCTGATTCCTTCTTCTCAAAAGCGCCCAAATTGGCTGCCGCCGATCGAGCAGCACGTTTTTGGAGCATGTCTGCGAAGCTGTTACCTGAGCCGACGTCGGGTTCGATCTGGAAAAAAATTGTAATCTCCGTGGCAAGACCCTAAAAAAATTTCTCAAAGTTCGCTGGTACCATTTACATTGAATTTAAACCAAAATTGACCGAGATACAGTGTAATCTTGGTTTTCGTGGTGAGACCCAAAAATACAAAAATTTCAAAACCTAACCATGATTATATTCGTCTTAAACGCCTTAACGCGCTGATTCTAATGGTACCATTTCCATTAAATTCGGACCAAAATTGACTGAGATACAGTGCAATCTTGGTTTTCGTGACGAGACCCAAAAATAAAAAAATTCAGAACCTAGTCATGGTTATACTCATTCAAACCGTCTTAACAAGCGGTGTCGAATGCTACCACTTTCATTGCAATACGATGAAAACTAGCCGAAATACGGTAGTTTTTCCATTTTCGTGGCGAGACCCGAATTAAAAATTTTCAAAACCTAGTCAAGATCATACTCATTCAAACCGCCCAATTCTGATGATTCGAATGGTACTATTATTGTTGGTATCAGACGAAAACTAACAGAGATACGGTAATTTGAAGGCGCACGACAACATTTGACCTACCTTCGCTCTCGGCGGTGGTGGAGCCTTCTCCTCAACCGCCGGTTCCGCAGGTGGTATTTCTGAGAAATCCATGGTTTTTGATTCAGTCGGCGAGAAGATTGTGGGGAATAATGGGGGTGGAGCTTTTACCTAAAATTTGAAATATTTTTTTCTGCGTCTCTCCATCCCTCTTTTTTCTCAATAGAGCGCAGTTTCCTTACCGGTTTCGAGCTATCACTATCGTCTGTCGTCTCTTTGGGAATCTCGTTCTCCTGATTCTCCTGAACCAGCTGAATCGGTTCGGGTATTTTCTTGTTCCGGAGGGCCATGCATTCATTGGTGGGTGAGGTGGAGGTGGTCTGAAGATAATTATAATTTTTTTTATTTCGAAAAAAAAGAAAAATGAAAAATGACATACGGGTTGGAAATCATCTTTGACAGGTGGTTGCCATTGCGAGGAAGAGACAGGTGAAACTGGGGACGGGACACGGGGGGCTGCGGGGGCGGTGTCCCTGGAAAATATGATTGGTGGTTCTTCAAAAAAAAAACCTTGGTCCTCGCCGCCATTTGGACGCGGCAGGAGAAAAAAGCACAACTAGATAAGCGCCCTCGCACCCCATTGGCGAAGTTGCCATATGGTGCAGTGGCTAAGCGTTTTGTCTTCCGAACTCAAGGCCGGGGTTCGATTCCACATGGGGTCAAACGTTTTTTTAATTTTTTGTTAAAGCCGTTAGATGACACCGGATAGCGTTTAGAGGGTACTAGAAGCTAGAGAATAGAGAGGCGAGACGCACAGACAGTATGTTTCTTTGCGCACTCTCATCTCTAACCTCTACACTGAAAAGGCTATAACTCGCTTCCAAATTGTTATTTTCGGGTGGTTTAAAAACTATTTTGATCAGCTTTTTCAGCTCTTTGCAGTGAACTTTTGATGGTCTAGTGTCATTTTTGAAACTCAAAGGGTGGGTTCCTCCCAGGTTGAATTATCTCTGTTTTACTTTTCTAGGCTATCGAAACTTGGTAACAAAAAATGAAAAAGAAATTTGACCCCACGTGGGATTGAACCCCAGACATCAAAACTGCCGGCCAGCAGAGCTACCCACTGCGCCACTAGAGAAAAGAGAGACGAGACGCGCAAACAGTCTGCTTCTCTGCGCACTTTTCTCTCTCTCTCTCTCTCTCTCTCTCTCTCTCTCTCTCTTTCTCTCTCTCTCTTTCTCTCTCTCTCTCTCTCTCTCTCTCTCTCTCTCTCTCTCTCTCTCTATCTCTTTCTCTCTCTCTCTCTCTCATTCTCTCTCTCTCTCTCTCTCTCTCTCTCTCTCTCTCTCTCTCTCTCATTCTCTCTCTCTCATTCTCTCTCTCTCTCTCTTTCTCTCTCTCTTTCTCTCTCTCTCTCTCTCTCTCTCTCTCCTTCTCTCTCTCCTTCTCTCTCTCTCTCCCTTTCCAACAACTCACATTTTATTGAACATCGACCTGCTCGCCGTGAATTGCTCATGCTCCAACTGCCGTCGCCTCGCCTCTTCATGCCTTCTCCTCATCGTCGCCTTCTTATCATCTGCGGGCTCCAGATGACGTCGTCGGCGAGACGATATCATTTTTTGCGAATCTAGAAACTTCTTTTTTGAATCCTAAACCTTTTTTTAACAGTCACACCACCACCATGCTACAGTAACCATGCACAAACCTGACTTCCTTCTCCTCTCTCTTTCTCTGCGTCTCTTCCAATTCTCTCTTCTCTTCCTCCTCTTTTTCTCTGCGTCTCCTCTCCTCCGCCTGCTGCCTCATTCTCTCTATCTCCTCCATTCGCTCCGCCTCTTTTCTGCGGCTCTCCTCGGCTTTCAGTTTTTCAGCCTCCCTTCGATTCTGTAGTGCCTTGTTCAGTTTCTCCAGTGCCGTCTCAATGTCCTCTGGCATCTCGTGTTCGTAGGCTCTTGATCTTCTCTCAAGAGTACTACTGGCACTTGGGGGCGTGGTCGGCAAGGGTATTGGGGCCGGGGAGGGATTCTGTTTGAAGCTGTCCGGGCTCCGTGACCCGTCCTCCTCGGAGCCCATTGTGATTGCCGAGTCGTGTGATCCTTGAGACGATCGACGGGATTGATCTTTGAATGAGTCAGAGGTCCTGAAAGGTTAGGTAAAAACACTTCAAAATGGATTACGGTAATGAAAATCCAATCAAAAATTCCATGCATTTTTTGTTGATTTTTTAAAAATCCAAAAAAAAAAAAATTTTTTTTTCGAAAAAAAAATTTTTCCAACGCACCTCATCTTCACCACATCATCATCATTATCCCCTCTCTCATCCTCTTCTTTCAGCTCTCTTTCGTAGAGACGACACTGCTCCTCGAGCTCCTTGTTATTTGATTTACCCATACTTTTGATGGCATCCTCCATTCCAAGGGTGTCCAGTGTGTCAACTGCGTCGTAGTAGGTGTCCTGGAAATTTTTTTTTTCGTGGTGGGACCCAATTTTGACGAAATCTTGTTATGTTTATACTTTTCTGAACCGTCTAGACGCGCTGATTCTAATGGTACTATTTTCATTGAAATCCGACCAAAACTAGCCGAGATACAGTAGTTTTTCAAATTTCGTGGCGGGACCCAAAAATCGAAAAACTTCAGAACCTAGCCTTGTTTATACTTTTCTGAACCGCCTAGATGTACTGATTCTAATGGTACACTTTTCATCGAAATCTGACCAAAATTAGCCGAGATAGTGTAGTTTTCCAGGTTTCGTGGCGGGACCCAAAAATTAAACTTGACCGTAACCTAGGCTTGTTTATACTTTTCTGAACCGCCTAAGCGTGCTGATTTCAAATTATTGACTCTCAGAACAATCAGAGAAAAAATGGCATAGTTACCCCTAACTCACCCTATCCGGAATCCCATGCAACGCCTTATTGACAACCGTCATTCCATAGACAAGAGTCTCCGCATCCGGTGAATCCTTCTCTGTTAACACCTTCATCAATCCTGACCAATCAGCTTGTCCCTTTGATTTATCGACTGTTTGAATGGCAGAAAGCACCAGTAATGCATTGTTATCGTTGTATTCAATGAAGACCAGTAAGAGTTTCAGAGCAGTTTTCACTACCAGTCGGAACTGCAAAAATTTTGTAAAATTAGAGAGGAAAATATGGGAAAAGAAAACATGCATAGAGCAAGCACATTTGAACAAAAATCGTGCAATAACATTCTCCGATTTTTCTTAATTTTCAATTTTTCTAAAAATTTTTATCATAAAAAATTTCAAAATTGTTCTGAATTTGTTTATAAAGCTGTAAAAATTAGTTTTCATCGTGCAAGAAAAAACATTTCTAAGCTATGTTTTTCATACTTGTATTCCGAGCCGAGTCGTGTTTTTTCAGAAATTTTTATGACCCCGCCCGGCCGGCACGGCCCCCAGTTACCGCGAAGTACACTGACACAGTGAGTTTTTTGTACGTGCTTTCAAAAGGTTTCATTCGCGTGCTCTGTCTTACTGTAGGGTCGCATGCAAACTGCGTGGCGACTCAGCGATACGTAGGTATTTTTCTCATTTTAAAGCTTTTTTTAAAATCAAATTGAATAGAAATTTTTCTCCGCATCATGTTGAATATAATATTAACAGAATTTGATCGGAAGTGATCACTGAAAAGTGCTCTGGAAACATGGTGCGCGCTCCTTCGGCTCAAGCGCGGCCTACTGTCAGATTTTAAAGACGCAATATGAAATTTGTAAAAGTCCGTGTGAGATGGAGCGCAGAAACCGAGAAAAAGATCAACTATTTTAACAAAGATTCAACCAGCACATGCAACATAAAAAATCATGCTCTTTTTCTTCTCGGAAACACATTCTTTAAAAAATCCATTCAAAAAACCATTCAAAAATCCAAAAAAAAGATACCCATTCAAGACGAAACGGTGACATTTCTTTACGCTCTTCCTCGATGTACAACTGGACAAACAGACATAATTATGGACAAAAAAATAGGACAAAGGTTTTTTTGATAGAATGAGGGTTTTTCAGTCAAAATTGTGCTCAAAAAATGAAAATTTTGACCGAAATTCTCAATTTTTTGCTTAAAGCGCCCTTCTACCTTAACCCATGAGCTCCTAACCGGCCAGAAATTCTTACCGGTGAATCCAACAGCTCATATAACCACTGAATCGTCCCATTATGCGCAATAATCCCGTTCATTCCATCGACGTACAACATCAACTGTCCCAATGCCCTCAGAATATAATTCTGATGGTTCTGATCGGCAGTTCGTCCCAGACGGATCATACAATCCAGTCCCTGATTTTGAACAAATTCATGCACCAGATCTTGATCATCCTGCAAAATTTTTGTGAGTTTCCGGATGAATAGTCACGGACTAAGGACGTTATCGGTTTTTTAGATCTTTAGAGAGATTTCAGGAAAACGGATAACGATGAAAAGGGGAAATACCTGGAATATCTGCTTCAGCGAAAACAATGCGCGTCGTTGATCACGTCCCGAACAATTTAGAAGCTTGTCTGGAAAAAAAATTATTTGAAAAACGCTAAATTCCACTCTAGATAGTGAGAAAAACCTCTAGAGATGCTTCCCGGAATAAAACAAAAAAAGAAAAAAAAATTTGAGTCCTCACGGAATTGAACCCTCGCCGCCAGACTACCGGCCGCCTGCGTTAGCCAGTAGGCCACGCGCGCAAGAAAAGCAGAGAGAATGGAGGGCCCATATAAGAGAGAGGGGAGCGGGATTTGTCGCGGAGAGGGATGGGGGGGGGGGGCACTTTGAAAATTTTTGGATTGTTTTTCAAAATTTCACCCGTTTTTTTCATTCTTCCTAATTATTTGTTCCGAAAGCCGTAAAATTGTGTATTTTTCTATCATGAAACACAATGATTCACTAGTTGGGAATTTTCGAAAAAACTGAGTTATTCCTTAAAGGCGCAGCTCTTAGAAAAAAAACTCACCAATAATCGTCTTCACACGCAGTGACGTCTGTGTTCTCAGCACCAAACTGCATCGTCTTCTGCAAAATAAAATTTTAAGAAAAAGTCCCTCTGCAGATATTTTGCATATTTTGATGATGATGATGATGATGATTGTTCCCTTATCCCCTCGCGCATATTTTGAATTTTTACTAAAAACCGGTTCCTTAGATTTTTATAGTTTGAGAATTCCCGTCATCTTTTTTTGAAAAATGATCGGTTAGTCATCGAAAATATTGATGAAAAATGTGAGAAAAACGTTTTCCAGCAAAAGAAAAAAGAAATTGACTACCCGCGGAATTGAACCCCCGCCGACAGATTACCGGCCGCCTGCGCTAGCCACTCGGCCACGCGTGCAAGGTTGGCAGAGAAAGAGAGGGCCCCTATAAAGGAGAAGAAAACATGGCTGGCCGCCCGGAGGAGGGTGGGAAGCACCTTGAGGCGTGCCGTACTATTACAAGAAAACTGAAAAAAAAGAAAAGAAGGTAGATCAAAAAAACTCACTTAACCCGCGAATTCAAATACTCATCTCCCCAATCAAATGGGAGCTCTTCTTCTAGATTCTCCTCCGATTCCTGATTTTTCGACGTGGACTCTTTCGAAGTGAACGGGGATACTGTAGCGATGGGCTGTTGAGAAATTTCAGAAAATTCCGGAACACTCAACTTCCTAACATTCTCCATCGACCGGTAACCGCTGTCTTCTCTACGATGGAGAGAAGGCGTCGGGGTTACCGAGGGCACCCCCT